TTTTTTAGCTCGATTGTGAAGCCCATGAATAATTAACTTGGATTAAAAATTTTAGTCGAAAATAAGAAAATAAGAATTTATCCCCTGAACCCATTTTCAATGGGAAAGCATTGGATTTAGATTTATATTAAAAATAGTAAATAAAATATTTATAGATTCAAAATTTAATCAAAAGCCATATATAAATCTTTCTTTTTGCATTCACACAAATTTATTTATAAATCTAATCAATTTTGTAGGAGCTGGTATTAGAGCTCTCCTGTATTACAACTTGTGTGCAGCCAACGTGTTTGTTGATTCTAATGTCAAACTCTTTGGATATTTGCGGATGTGAACATTTTCGTTTGACTGTGTATACAACAGGCGCACCTGTTGCATTCTGGTTGCCAACATGTTGGCGCCTAACTGAAATCGAATATTAAGTTGATAGGAAAGCAAATGTATGTAAATAAATGTAAAAATATGTATTTGAGTTTTCTGACAGATTAATACATTACTTATTACTGTCACTCGATTGGCGATAATCGACCATACTTAAAACGCACTTAAATTGCATTTTCAGTGTACATAAATCGTGTATGACACGAGCTGTCAGAACCCAATAAGGATTCATTAACTTTGCCAAAAGAGAGAGTTTTTCAGATAGCTGCAAATTACATATAGCCAGATTAAATGGTGAAAATTTATTAATGGAGCTGAGAGTACGTGCTTGTGGCGACGACGATTGGGGATCGAGACGCGGCAATTTATGGGCAGCAAACCCAATTTCAATAACGAAATGTTGTTGCTCAACAGCGGAACAATTAATGTCTGACACTGTCAGCTTTTTAATTGAAATTTATGTCGGGGATTACAGCCTGAGATTAAACACGTATGCATATGCGATGACAGCTGACATGCCCCTCATATCTCTCTCTCTCCGTTTCCCTCACTCTCGCGCTTACTAGCTTTTGCTATTAAGTAATTTCACTGTTTGCTTAAGGAAATAACAGAGGTTGCATAAGTACGTTTCAAACTATAAGCCTTTAAGCCGGCAAACAACTCACATACATACAACGTTTTTAAATACAGATTAAATTTGTATTGGGTTAAAGTAATTAATGAATTATAGTCTGAGCGAAAACTTTGTGGTTGAAACTATATTCTATCTAGCTATTATATCTGTATCTGTATCTGTATCTGTATCTGTATCTGTATCTGTATCTGTATC